GGAAGGACATGAATATAATTGAGAAATCAGGGTATTACAAACAAGCTCGAATAAAGGGAGACAAACCTTATGAATCTGCACAAACAATTTTATGTCAAAATTGATAGATTTACCTGGAACTGGATGCTACTGAAAATTCCCAATCAACTATTTTATCGATGAACTGACGTGTACTTAACAGTACTGGATTTAACGCTACGGGTTTTTTCTTAATTACCTAAACCAGTACTGACTGGTACTTAATCGATCGCGATAGTTAGTATACTGAACATGTACTGAACAACTGAAAAAGATCTTGACATTTTTCCTTGCGGTAAATTCATGCATTTAAGAGTTGTTCAGTTCAAAATGACCATTTCAGTAGTAAAACCCGTTACTAGTGTATGTATTGCAGTGACGAATTCAAGGGGATGGAGGGTAGGGTCGCCATACCCCAACTTTGAACATCATAAGCGTTCGCCCTCCACACTTTTGATTGGAAACTATATCATTTTGAGCTCACTTGGCCCGAAGGGCCAAGTGAGCTTTTCTCATCACTTGGCGTCCGTCGTCCGTCGTCCGTCGTCGTCCGTCGTCGTCCGTTGTCGTCGTTAACTTTTTACATTTTGAACTTTTTCTAGAGAACCACTCAATGGAATGAAACCAAACATGGCATGAATGTTCCTTATGAGGTACTGACCAAGTGTTGTTACTTTGTAGCGGATCCATCATCCAAGATGGCCGCCAGCGGGGGACTTAGTTTAACATAGGACCCTATGGGAAATACATACAAATGTCTTCTTTTAGAGAACCACTGAATGGAATGAAACCAAACATGGCATGAATGTTTCTTATGAGGTGCTGACCAAGTGTTGTTACTTTGAAGCTGATCCATTATCCAAGATGGCCGCCAGCGGGGAACTTAGTTTAACATAGGACCCTATGGGAAATACATACAAATGTCTTTTTTTAGAGAACCACTGAATGGAATAAAACCAAACATAGTATGAATGTTCCTTATGAGGTGCTGACCGAGTGTTGTTACTTTAAAGCCGATCCATAATCCAAGATGGCCGCCAGCGAGGGACTTAGTTTAACATGGGAACCTATGGGAAATACATACAAATGTCTTCTTTTAGAGAACCATTGAATGGAATGAAACCAAACATGGCATGAATGTTCCTTATGAGGTGCTGACCAAGTGTTGTTACTATGAAACCGATCCATAATCCAAGATGGCCGCCAGCAGGGGACTTAGTTTAACATTGGACCCTATTGGAAATACATACAAATGTCTTTTTTTTAGAGAACCACTGAATGGAATGAAACCAAACGTGGCATGAATGTTTCTTATGAGGTGCTGACCGAGTGTTGTTACTTTGAAGCCGATCCATATTCCAAGATGGCCGCCAGCGGGGGACTTAGTTTAACATGGGACCCTATGGGAAATACATACAAACGTCTTCTTTTAGAGAACCACTGAATGGAATGAAACCAAACATGGCATGAATGTTCCTTATGAGGTGCTGACCAAGTGTTGTTACTTTGAAGCCGATCTATCATCCAAGATGGCCGCCAGCGGGAGACTTAGTTTAACATAGGAGCCTATGGGAAATACATACAAATGTCTTCTTTTAGAGAACCACTGAATGCAATGAAACCAAACATTGCATGAATGTTCCTTATGAGGTGCTGACCAAGTGTTGTTACTATGAAGCCGATCCATAATCTAAGATGGCCGCCAGCGGAGGACTTAGTTTAACATAGGACCCTATTGGAAATACATACAAATGTTTTCTTTTAGAGAACCATTGAATGGAATGAAACCAAACATGGCATGCATGTTCCTTTTGAGGTGCTGACCAAGTGTTGTTACTTGGAAGCTGATCCTTCATCCATGATGGCCGCCAGATGGGGACAATGTTTAACAAAGGACCCTATGGACAATACATACACATGTTTTCTTTTAGAGAACCACATACTGAATGGATTGAAACCAAACATGGCAAGAATGTTCCTTATGAAGTGCTGACTAAGTTTTGTTACTTTGAAGCTGATCCTTCATCCATGATGGCCGCCAATGGGGGGACTTCCTTTAACATAAGACCCTATGGGAAATACATACAAAGGCTTCTTCTAGAGGTGCACTGAATGGAATGAAACCAAAACATGGCATAAATGTTTCTTATGAGGTGCTGATGAAGTGTTGCTACTTTGTTGCCGATTTACTGTTCAAGATGGCCACCAGGATTTTTTATTAAATTACAGGACCAATATTAAACCAAATTTGGCCTCACTCATTATTAGGGTATCTGTTATGATTTTAATCTATTTTTACATGATTTCCAAAACCAAAGTAGAATCAGGTGAGCGACACAGGCTCTTGAGAGCCTCTAGTATGACTTCAAATCGTCCAAAAAAGGTTGGCCTTGCCTGGCAGTATCTATACGTCCTCCCTTTGTTTCATTCTCAGTGTGATTTCGAATTGAAGGTTAGCTCTATTTAAGGCACAATTAGCGTAGAACACACAAGCAACACTAACCGGTATATACACGTACCGCTTTGTATCGAAGTGGCTGTTTGAAGTGTGGGGCAATGTTGGCATGAATATAGAATTGTTTAGAATAAAGATAAAAAGAAGATGTTTTATTTACCAGATTGGAGCTCGTGGACATAAACAAACAGACCAATATGATTGCATCAACCAACTTGAAGTACAAAACAATAGCACAATTGTGTTTACAAAATTACAAGTAAATAAGATTGAGAATGGAAATGCAGAATGTGTTAAAGAGACAACAACCCGACCAAAGAGCAGAAAACAGCCCAAGGCCACCAATGGGTCTCCAACACAGCGAGAAAATCATATCGAGACTTTTGTTTCATTTTTGAAGTTTTACTTGTGTCCCATTACACAATTGAATAAAGAGTTATCTGATGAAGGCACACATAGTCGGTGTCTAATGCAGATCAGTCAAACACACATTCAATTATAACTCTGAGGAATTATATATGACTTTGTACATTATTTACATGAAACTATCGACGTTTGGAGTCATTGAAGAAAAGCATCCACGATCGATTTTAAGGAAAAACTTAATCCAGATCCGTAATTAAGAGTATCTGTACTAGTGATAACCCGAATAATTCAGACTCTCCCCATAATTGACTCTTGTGTAATGTGAGTAATGAAGCGATAACACATAAGATCATGGAATCTATACTAAACAAAAAAAACTTTCATTTTACGTATAATCTTTAATTGAATTAGAAATGAGCGACAACCTTACCCAGAAAATTGTCATTTGAAGTGCAATAAGTCCTGTTTCTTGCAGTAGACAAATTTACTATACAAAGTAAAAACAGTTTAACAAAATAAAATTCAAAATTTAATTTAAAAACTTGTATCAAAATTTTCAAAGTTTTGGAAATAACTTTTTTAACATTGATGGTAGTAAAGTATAAATTGTACTTTATGGTTGATTTTTTTTGTTTGTTTGTTTTGTTGTTGCAATGATTTACTTTTGAATGCAGGATATTATTGTAGACCAGCAATGGACGTCTGCACGTGTCCCAAGAAGCATGTTGAAGAACTGTTTTTATATATATCAAGGGTTTCAAGGACCATTCGAGACATGCTTGTTGGGATACGTGCACACGTCCAACGCTGGTCTACAAAAATATCTTGCATTTAAATAATATAGTAAGGATGTGTTGGTTTGTGTGGTTGCTGTCTCATTGGTTTATACCTTTCAATCATCAGTTTATAAATAAATTCATTAATGCTATCTATTTCCAAGCTTGTGTCATGGTGTAAAATGCCGTGTTTCTGTATTTGGCTACTTGTCATGGTGTAAAATAATGTGTTTCTGTAATTTGCTAATTGTCACGGCGTAAAATACCGTGTTTCTGTAATATGCTCATGGTGAAAAAATGAGTGTTTCTTTAATTTGACAATTGTCATGGTGTAAAATGGTGTGTGTCTGTAATATCATACTTGTCATGGTGCAAAATGGTGCGTGTCTGTATTTGCTTATTGTTATGGTGTAAAATGCCGTTTTTCTGTAATTTTAATAATGGTCATTGTGTAAAATGTCGTGTTTCCATACACTGCTAATTGTCATAGTGTGAAATGGGGTGTTTTTGTAATATGCAAATTGTCGTTTTCATGTGTAATCCCGCTTATTACCTATACGCACAATTAAGCTTACATCATATGAATTAAAGGCGACATAAAGTGTCTTACATTTTATACTTATTTTGACAGCATGTTTAAACGTATTTTTATTTCATACTGAGGAGAATATCATGCAGTGATTCTTTTTTTTTTTTTGCGCAGGGAGAGGGCTGGGGGATTTGGTCAATGAATATCCTTGTTAAAAATCTTACCCAAGACAGATGAAAATTAATACGCTGCACGAAAAAAAAATTCCTGCCAACCCTCCCCCTTTTTTACATTATAACAAGTAGTTAACACCCAAAAATCTTCACTGTATTTAATAGTTAAATTCAGTAGACGTGTTTCTATGATATTTGTGCACATTTTAAATCTTTTTAGCCTATATATCTGAGAAGATTATTTCTTTAATAATTTATGAATTGTACCGATTCTTTAATTGATTAATCTATTTTCCACGGAATATGTATTGATTCAAATAGTGTGTAAACATTTTAATTAGCTTGGTTTACTGAACAAATCATTATATGATATAAGCTAGTTCTTTAAATGCCATCCATTGTTTGACTGTCATTTTGTTTAGAAATATTAAGGTCATAATCTAGAATCAACGCATTATTGTAGACATTTCGTTGTCTGGAGGTCACGTTTTTCCGTAAGAGCAAAAACCATACCTGCTTGACTCATTCGCCCGAATCACAATTCAATAATCCATAAAAATAGATATTTGATTTTTTAAATCATGAATGGCTAAATTTAATGTAACTGCGTATGAATGGTTGAAAGGGGTATTTAAACGTAAAAGTTAAAAATTGATTTACTTTTAAAGTAGCCACAAGAACGACAACAGTTTATAAGAATTTAACTTCAATTTAATTCTTGGTATCTTTTTCCGGGTGGATATTGATACGTTTATTTAAGTTATAACTAGAAAAATCAAAATGAAGTTTTTCTCAATTGTTTTTGTGATATGGATTCCAAATATTTCATGTTTTCTAAGATGGCCATCTTATGACAAAGTTGAATACAGAGGTAGGAGTGTGTAAAATTCTATATTCCTAATTTTAAACGCAATTAGTACAATAAAGAGGATATAAATTTTTTTCAAAAATTATGGTTATAAATAAAAGAAAATGTGTGGTATTAATATTAATAAAACACAAATAGTATATTTTGTGCGTATATGGGACTTAAATTTTTTTTTTATTATCGTATATGTTTTCTTGTTCAATGTTGTTTTCTGCTTTCATTGTTTTCTAGTGGCAGTCCAACATTACCACCTTGTTCCCTGTCGTCCCACGTTGCAGGAAAAAAACTAGTAGTGTGTATGTTAACAGTTTCACGTCCTGAATATGCATACGATAATTAAAGTTAAGGGAGAAAGCAACTAAACATCACGATATGTCTTTGCTGTCCAATACAGGTACAAATCGACAAAAACGATCATTCTAAACTACATCGCCCCCTATCAAGATTGTACTGAAACAAAATAGCCTAAAGAATTAAAAAATACTGAAATTAATTATACCCCTCCCCCTCAATCAAGACCCTTATACAAGAATATCATATAAAGCCTTTATGAGCAGTTGGTGGTGTTTGGATGCTAAACATCATCAAGCAATCAAGCAATTAGCAAGTCAGACTTAAAGGAATGAGCATTTAAACGAACAAAAAAAGCTAAAGGATGGTAATTTGTTTGCAATCATAAATCTTAAATTTTCTCTGATAATAACAATATAAGTCACCCCAAAAAACAAGTGCATGTTTATACTATGACGGCCTACAGTGTATGTTGTGTATGTTTAGACACGTAACTGCATGATTAACTTATATTAAACGTGACATTGCACTCAAAACAATATACATAAAACAGTCACTATATAGAACCTTCTTTAAACGAAAAACCATTCTTAATTTTTGTTCCGGGTGCATATTGATTTGTACTTAATAGTATCAGAATGAAGTTTTTCTCTATTGTTTTTGTGCTATGGATTCCAAATATGTCATGTTTTCTCAGATGGTCATCTCATGACAAAGTGGAGTACAAAGGTAGGAGTATATAACAATATGATTTCTTAATTTTAAACGCAAAGAGTACATTTAAGTGTCTCTAAAGCTAAATGTTTTCAAAAGTAATGTACACGATTTAAGTTCTAAAAAACGTCATTTAGACTTTTTCCATATTTATAAATAAAAGAGATGTATAGTCTTAAATTTAATGAAACAGATTTAGTATATTTTGTGTAATGCGTAGGCCTAAATGGGACTAGAAATTTATTCTTTAATCTGGTAATTTCGTATATTTTGTTCTTGTCTCATACAGGTACCAAAAAAACAAAAATACAGATTTTTAAAAGACTGTTATAAATTGATAGTATATAAATAACGGAACTTAATCAATAGAAATAAATGACAGGTCTGTGTCCTTGCGTTTGAGAAGTTATCTAAGGTAAATTTGGCGGGAAATGATTCTCTCTAGATTATTCATATATTAAAAATGGCACGTTTTTTCTTTCAAAAACTATGCAAGGATGTTTTTAGATTTTCAAAAAGGTCCTTTTAACCTATATGTAATAAAATTATGCATAGAAAATTAGGGATTAGCGGGCAAAATGTTTATTGGCATTACATCGATAAAACTAGAGGATTCCGAAAAAATCTGACAAAAAGTCAAAAACAAGAGTAGCGAATATCCTTAACCCCATTGCTTGTTTTTCCTAAAGTTGAACAGTTCTGGATTTTTTCCATTCATGCTATTGACACTGAATGAAGACACATCTTGACCCCTAAGATTATAATGAATAATTGATATCTGGTACCATACAGATAACATATTGTTGAAAAAGTTGAAAAAGCATCAAAGAATCAGTAACAAGCTAAGTTTTGTATACATATGTGGTTTGGATGAGGTTAACAGAATATACAACAATGGGCAAGAACTTGAGAATAAATGGGGAAAAGGAAAAGAGAAAAATAGACCAAAGAATAAAGAATAATGGAGTGATAAAATATAAAGAATAATGAATAATTGGGGGGGGGGGGGGGGATAAAGAATAGAAATGGCCTAGATATTTACAAAACTACGGAAATGAAGATCACTTTTGATCCAGTCCCATCATATAGCAATAAATATACCACATGTACCAGTCAGTAAAAGTTAGGAAAGGTTCATTTAACTTCACAAAGATGAAGTGGGCTAGTTGGATATTTTACTAACAAATCTATAATTTTCTCTGACCTCGACTCAGTGTGTATACTCAAACGTCGTACAATGTATTTTAAGACATGTTTGTTTGTTCTTTATTAATTAAATGATATTTAACTTAAAATTGAAGGAGAGAGAGAGAGAGAGAGAGAGAGAGAGAGAGAGAGAGAGAGAGAGAGAGAGAGAGAGAGAGAGAGAGAGAGAGAGAGAGAGAGAGACGAAACAGATTGACAATTGATATCAATAATAAAAATAATTTGGAACTAAAGCTATTATTGTCTTTCGGATAAATTTATTCATTTTTATTAGCGACGTCCTTCGATGCAAAATTTGACAAAAACATGTCACAATTTGCAATTTTGTTTTTAAACGCCTTAAACAGCAACATATAGCGATGGATAACATTTTTATTTTATGTTATTATGTAAAATTTAGAAACTATATTTTAAGTATATAATACAAACTCTTAAGTCATCAATTTCTAGTAGTTTTTGACAACTTTTAACTTTTGACCCTGTGAGTGAAATAATCACATGGAAATTTTGCCCTACCTTTTTGTAAATTAAAATATTTAAAGTGGATTTATTATTTCCCTTGTTGATAAGATCTTACCTAAACTATTAAATTTGAAAGTCGTTATGTATATTCTTAGTATGAAAACATCTGGTATCAAATTGAACAAGGCTGTATCGAGACACTCTTATTAAACTATAATCTTTATGTCTTTTGATATTATAATACTTGACACGATCTTGTTTTTTATAGTATTGTAAGACGAACGATTTAGACATTCGCGATGATATACATCCTTTTGCCCGTGGAAATATACTTCTAAATAATTTTATTTATAGTTTTTTTCGTATTTCAGGATGTTCGCTTATCTTGGGTTTCTTTTTTTTTTGGGGGGGGGGGGGGGGGTGGGGGAGGGGTGGGGGGGGGGGTCAGATCAGATATTCGGAATCATCAGGTTTTATCCATGTGGTCCCATTACAAATTTTGCCCGTTAACCCCCTTCTTTTCTTTCTAAAATTTTATTACAAATTTGATTTGTTTAAAAGCCATTTTGAAAATCTTTCAAAATCTTAGTTTTGTTTTTACTTTTCTGGAAAAAAAATGGTGCCAATGTTAAATGTATGAAAAATCTAGAGAGAACCATTTCCCGCCAAATTAGAAATGGCTTATATCGCAAAAAAAAAGCACTCGGACTTTTTTCTGCTTTCTTTGTTCCGTTATATATATCCTATCAATATAGACTAGCGAACATCCTTAGTATTAGAACTCTTAATATGAATATCGATGTTACCGGAACTATTTTCATATAATTCTATTCTCCAAAAATCCATTGAATGTGGCACAACTTGAATTAAATATGCCTTGAAAGGACTGTTTATAAATGGGGTCACCAATGCGGCATAAACAAAGCTCCTGCTAAAGAGTGACGACCGTTTGGCTGACTGTGTTGGATGTATAAATATGCAGTCATGAATGGGGACGTTACTCCGATGCCTCATGTTTGGAAAGTGTCATGCTTTCTTTCCGTTAAAAAACATTGTAATACTCGTTAAGGGATCTGTTAATAGCCGTCTAAGTAACCGGTAATAAAGCATCATTCGGTAAATGTTTACATAAAAATTTCGACAAAGCGTAACAGTACCATCATATTTGGGAATACAAAAAAAAGGGGGGGGAGTTAAATTCTCCATAGATACAAAGATTTGGTTTGCAAGTTTGGCTGTACCTGTAGAAAACTGATTTCAAACAGAATAGCAAATCCTAAATTTAACGGCGATGTTGTTAACCGAGCCAAGAAACTTTATTATTAGAATGTTATGGGGGGATCAAGAAAATTTTATATGTTAGATTGCAAAATGACCAGACACCCCAACACCCCCCCCCCCCCTTTTCCCATGTAAAAAATTATAAGTCCCTTAGAACTGCTTTTATAGATGTAAATTTCCATTTTTGCTTAGCGGGACTCTGAGAAATATAGTGAAAACTTGAGAAAAAATATCTCAGAATGGTCTTTTTACAGAGGTATCATATTCATAAAGAAGATTTATAAGTGTTATTTTGTGTTATATTTATATATTATCTTTAATCTATTGTACAGAAGAAATACCTGTAAAAATATCACAAGGTCTGCGTACAAGACGATCAGCAGACGGCAGCATTTATCCAAAGACTTATGACCTGGACCTAAAAGTTGAAGGGTCACAAGTTCATTTCCATTTAGTACGGAATGATGACATCAAGACTAATGTTCCAACTTTATCTTTGAATCAAGGAATACTAACAGACATTTACCTACAAGAACAAAAGGTATAATTCCGCTAGAAAAAATATACTACAAAGTTTTTACTTTTATTGCTAAGGACTACGAAATGAAAAAGAAATGTACTGATGTACTAGGTGTAAATAAAATAAGTTCTAGATAACCGACAAAATTTAGGGGGGGGGGGGAGAGAGTAAATTACGCGGTAAGGTAGGCACATTTTAACTTTTTTTCAGACACTCTGAAAGGGACTTAACAAATCATTAAACAAACTATTCCTAAACAAAAGAAGAAAGAACCAATTGATCACTCGTATACATGTACTTTTAAAAATCCTGTATTCATGAGAATTTAAAAATTTTTGTATTAAATAAGGTTATTCCATTATTTTAATACCTTTTCATGGATATGCTGAATTGCAAAGAATTTATATAAAAATCATCATAATGTATATAGGTAATCTCTTACTAGATTCCACTATTACAGGAGTCCATATTTTATCAAGATATCAAGAAAGGAGCATCGTTTGTAGTTCAACAAGAAAAAAAACAGTCAGAAAGCATGGTAAGATAGAAGCAATCTTTTTACTTCTTTTGCATTGAAGAGCTGTGTCTGATTCAGCAACTGGTTTAAAGAGATGAGGGTTTACGCCTTACATTCGTCCATTAAGAAGTTATTCTGAAAACTCCGAATAATCGGATTACATACCATTTTTTAACTGCATTCAACACCTCTCTCTATAAATTCACTACAACATAGACAATCTTCAAGAATATTGAGCGTATTTGTATAGATATACCAATATAGGTGGCCTTGGGCTGTTTTCTGCTCTTTGGTCGGGTTGTTGTCTCTTTGACACATTCCCCGTTTCCAATCTCAATTTTATACATTAAAAATTGCATGGTTCAAAGCTAAATTCTTGTGAACAAAACTTACGGTTTTTTTTTTGGTACAGATAATCTGACCTTTTACTGTACTTCAAATAACGGCTTTGCTGAAATTGCTGTTAGGGCAGTTCAACGGATATTGCATTTGGAGAAAAAATGCATAATCTTGCAAAGCATACCATTGTAATTCTGTTTAATTCTGGTGAGCTTTTTGTAATGATCCATAATAATTAAATACAATTTTTCAATCTTTGTTTTCGTTCGTCCATTTGCCCGTCCTGTATCAGGCTAAAGCTTTGGTTTAATGTGGTTAACCATGAAGTTGTGGTCACACAAGATGGATACTTAGTACACATGTTCATTGTGATTTAAACTTTTAAACAAATTTGCCAAATTAGTGTCTTGGCTAAGATTTCAAGTTTCACTGGACATGATAATGAGAGAGTGCAAAGGTCCTATGGGCAACTGATTTATTTGATTTATTAACATTTTTAAGGAGTTACTTATAAGTAGAAATTTAAAGTTTTTGCATGTGTTCATATTTTGAAAATAATCAGTGATTTCCATATAATGAAAATTGATAATGTTTTGCTCTGCGAAGCATAAAGTTGTATAATAATATGAAATAAAAAAAAAACCTATTGAACAACCAATCTCCTATTGCTACGGTGTAAAATTACTTTCATCGCATAATCACACTTTTGTCCCGTTATTTTTTACGAATATTTAAAAAAATAAAAAATGTTCATGGCATAAAAATTATCACATTCTTTAAATTTGTAAACGTATCCCGGATGTTAAACAATACTTGGAAAGAGGTTGGAACTAAAAGCTATAAAAATAATTGCTTGCACCTAAGTGGGGTCAGATCCGTGTGTACCTGTAAAAAAAAGTACATGTATTTGGCATTCATCGATTATTGTAATTAAGCTGTTTATTTTCCGTTGTGTTTAATATCGTAAACCTATCATGGATGTTAAGCGATACTTGAAAAAGGGCGATAACAAAATGCTATATGAAAGTAATAGCTTGCACCTGTAGGGGTCATATTCGTGTGTACATGTAAAAAGAAAGAACTTAGCATTCATCGATTATTGTAATTATGATGTTTATTTTCCTTTTTGTATCAAATGGTTGATACATATTTAAATCTTAAGAAATTTCTTCATTACAGTAGTTGATGGTTTATTTGATGTTGTCACCTTCACGTCCAGTGACAAATGTTTGTTACATGCGTAGTACGAGTACACACTAGTTAAACAATTGATTAAAAACGTCGACACACATGTACTGTAATGTGGGTCGACATTGAAGGTATTGAAGGTGGTCGAAAAACATCCATTTGAAAAAAGGATATGATTGATGGGGGTAGATTATTTGCTTGACAACTAGCCATTATTTATCCCACCAGCAATTATCTGTATGTCCATCAATGAGTTCTTCCGAATGAAACGAACACTTTAAGGTTTGTGCGTCCGAATTGCTTTTCTGGATTTACCTTTATCAAGTACACTTAAACCCCTAATTTTTAAAATCGAGGATGTATGAGGGTCTGGACGGAGGTCCTTTATTCCCATTTTTCTCTATTCTTTATATTTTTTGGTAATTATTCTATATTCTTTATATTTTAGAACCCTATTATTCTTTATTCTTTATTTTTTTTTGCCCTATTTTGCCCTATTCTTTATTTTTTGGGCCCTTTTCTGCACATATGCCCATTATTTCGGCGACGCAGGTTAAACCTGAGTATACTTCATGTATGCTTGGATAGCCAATCATTCGCGCTCCGCCTGTAAAGAGAAGAACGCCAAATTCTTATCTGAATGCCGATTGGGGATTCAATTAATGAAGTAATATACTTGGTGATTTAAAATGTAATTAGATAATAAACATTCAGTGGTAAATGTATTAAAAAAAAATCCTAAACTTTATAAAGATCACTTCGATCAAAACCATTCCATGTTCATAATCCAATGATGGTTGTACTTAAGAAAACAAAGGGACTACCGAAAGTTCTTTGCACAAATAAAACCATTTGATTCCTGATGTAGTCCATATTTAAGAGGATTTGTTACCTTCATTTATAATTTATAGTTCGGCACTTTCAATTCTGGTGGTGACAGTTTTATCCTCCAATCTCCTAAAGGAAGATTGTCTTCGTTACATTCCGGCAGCAACAGATTTGAGTTAATAAAAGAGATTAGAAATCGGACTGAGTTTGGAGATGGATTACAATCCGGTGAGTGAATATTCCAAGTCTTTTTGTCAATTTATCGTTTATATGCAAATCTAAAGATGTTAAGGGGGTACAGAACACGCAAGGGATTTTACTCTTTATAAATCAACAGAACGCTTTTATCACATAATATTAGTAAAGAGAAATCAAGCTTCTCAATGATGAAAACTAGTGTTTGTCAAACTGTTATATATCCAATGAAATTATTCCTGTAAATTGTGTGGTTCAAATTTCTTGAATTTTTATGTTTTTGTCAACAGGTCAAAGACAATATTTTGTAAAAAATTTATGAAAATTAAACGAGGTCAATTTGTTTTAGTTAAAGTGTTGGGTACTCCCTTAACTCTTACTTGATAGAAGCTGAACTTGCATGAAAAGGCAAATAATAACGTTCTTACTCATATGTCACATTCTTAGGTTGAACTTATTGCATTAGATATTTACAAAAAAAGAATAAAATTTCAAAAAAACTGAACTCCAAGGAAAAGTCAAAACGGAAAGTCCTTTATTAAATTGCAAAATCAAAAGCTCAAACACATCAAACGAACGGAAAACAATTGTCATATTTATGACTTTGTACAAAATGGCGGATTAAACCTGGTTTTATAGTTAGCTAAACCTTTCACTTGTATGAAAGTTGCATATAATTCAAGATATGGTTATCAAACATGGGAAATATTTTTTTCAGAGTAGTGGTGTTCATACTACAACTGTACTCGAATTAATTAAGATCTTGCAATACAGAAAGGTTTTCATTGAAGAATACGTGGAAGTAGGTTGGTTTTTTTAAAATTTATTTTGATATTACATAAAAAGGTGAACAGGAATAAAAGAAATAATGACCGTACAACTGACAACTAGAACTATCAACACCCAACTTCTGAAAAAACGCAACTTAATAAACATGTTGTGTCATACGCCATTAATAAGGAGGGGGGGGGGGGGGGGGGGGACATGAAATTTAAAATTTAGTGATAGTTGTACTATCTCACCTCTTCATGAACATTTATATATACAGTCGCCCGCTGGACATTTGACATACCCAGCAATCAGCAAGTAAATTGATGTATCCATTAACTTATTATGTCACGTGATTGTAGGTGATGATTTGGAAAGTTTACCTGTAAGAAAACATCATCGACAGAAAAGAGCCACAGGATCGAACCAAATAGAACTATTATTATTTTGTGACTATGCTATTTATGATTAGTAAGTAAAGTGCATATGAAATAATAAAATTAAGGAGATTACTGAAGGGCGAAGACTGACCCTCTAATTGTATGAAGTTTAAATGTCATAGAGTAATTTTCATAAAGTTTTAACATGATTTGTTATGAGAAAAAAAAAGTGTAATAGTATCGACCTTGCAAATACAATGTCAACAATCTTAAAATGACTTCATTAATGATGACATTACATGTACGATAATCTAGTTGGATGCATATGAAAATTACATATTTTTGGGTATTTTTTGCCTTATTTCAGACGGTTTTTGATTCACCACAACCTTTGCTACGTGTATGAACAACGCAATGTATATGAGTAATGCGTAAAGCCTCCTAATACATCTATTCAGTTACAAATTTATATAGGTTAAATATAGGGTAAGACCAAGGAAATACACCTTTAAAATAGAGTTAAAAAGCGAATTGGGCTAAACTTCGTAATTCTAGTAGGATACTTTTCACACCATCAACAATGTCTAAAACATATGTTCCGGACCATATGAGTATTTGGACCATACGCGTATGGTCATGACCGTATGGGTATATACTCATATGGTCCGACCATACCCGTATGGTCCGACCGTACGCGTATAGTCGGGGAAATTAACAAGTTTACAGTTAATACTTAACTCTTCATAATGCATGACCCTTCTAGTTGTCACGTCATTAAAGACGACATCAAAGGTCATTTTATTATTTTATAATGATAAAAAGATTAACTAAATAAAAATCAGCAGTTTCACGCATTTGATTTTACTCACTAGTCACAACTATAGTAAACACATTTTATACATATGGTCATTATCGATTTGTTATTACGCTAGAATGGCAACATGTCGGAAGATATTTTAAAAAAAGAACTGTTTTTACCTCGGTATCACTGCACGAAGCTGCCAAGAAGGTTTACTTTTCACTCGAAAGCAAAAAGTGTAACTGCGAAGGATCGTGCACAACCAAGACGTGCAAATGCAGAAAAGCAATGGTACCGTTACTACCGTGTAGAAATAAATGTTAACGTTAATAACCAAACGAGTATATACTCATATGGTCCGACCATACGCGTATAGTCGGACCAAATGAGTATACGCATATGGTCATGACCATACGCGTATGGTCCAAATACTCATATGGTCCGGAACACATAAATTTGGCACAACCCTTTTTTCTTTTTGTGTGATTTTTTTTTAAAGTAAAATATAACGAAGCTTCGTGTTTAAGGCAAAGTGAAATTGGGGCCATCCTCGTCCAACTCTTTTAACTAGTACATTATAATAATAAGTCTTTTTTTTGTTATATAAGTTTATATACACACTATACTAATATATGGCAAAAATATCTCAAACACATTTTACAATTGCCGATCAAACAAGACTAGAAGGACACCGGATTTTATTATAATCTTTTTTTAATACACATACGCATTTCATGAAAATAATATCTATATACACATTTTGTGTATATAAACAATATTCAAACTGACAATACGAGTTGAAAAGTTTTACTCTGTCATAAACAAACTCGCCAGCCAGGAAAAATCAACAACAATTTTACCTCAGTTGATATGAAAATCTGTTTTCAAACCCTTATGCTTGGAAGATCGTCTCGAGAGATGTACATTGGGCATTACTGAAAATTGGCTTATGTTTACATAAACAAAATACAACAAAAATGTATACTGGTAAAAAATATACCTATATAGTAAAAAATATGAAAACGCAAACAATAATATGACTCAACATAATATTAGAACTTGACCAGTTCGAAGTTGGCGAGAGAATGGTCTAACTGGGAAGTTAACCCGCAAAAAATTACCAGTCACGTGATACTACAGTTATTATCACGTGTCAATACATGTATATATGAAAGAACCATTAGTACAATAATTTTCATCTATACTTCGAAACGCGGAAAATTGTTAATATATTAAGCTTGTGTCAAATACAATGCAAATAACAAACAAACGAAAAACAGAATTGAAAATCAATATAATATGCACTTTTAAAACAACTGAATAAAAAAATTTTGTTTAAGTTGGTACAGCCAAAGTGAAGCTTCGGCACCATCTGCAAAAGAGACTGAAGCACTTACATCTGTCCGCCAATATTATGCCTTTGTTTTAAATGGGGTAAGTAAACTTTCATCAGTACAGTATCAGACATGTTCTTTTGTTGTTGTATGTACACATTCAAAAACGATCGCTGTACAGCAAGTTTAAATCTTTCGCCTCAAAAATAGATCTTAATTAGTCAGAGATCATTGTTCCTTTAGCGTAAAAAGAATTGCGAAGTATCCGTTTGAAAATACCATTGAAGATCAATGTATGATTAATTATATATCGAAATAAAGTAGTTTGCAATGTTGGCTATTGGTTACAAAGTAAGATTGCACAAGCATATTTTGCCTGTAAGTGATTCACATAACTCTATTCTTTGTGAAAGCAACACTTGTCAGCTGATTGATTCATAAATGATCTGTGATCAGATGATGCACGAACTTGGAAATTCAATGCTATTTTTACACGAGGTGTAAAATATTAAACATGATTATAATATTTAACATTTCAGATGGATGCTATGTATAAGAATATCCAGACGTCTGATTACACGATATCGGTCTTATTTGCTGGGATAGTTATATCGCAGGTATAGTTTAGAAAAAAAAATCACTGGGTTCAAATATACGGTTTCTTATTCAACTGAATTATGTGAAGTACTAGTATTAGTTTCAATGGATGTTTTGCTTTATGTTTCTTTGTCACATTCTTGATTCAATGTTTCAAATTTTTAAATCTTGAAATTGATGCATAAATGCTCTTCAACTTCGTTCTTTATTTGGCCTTTTAACTTCTTGATTTGAACGTCACTAATGCGTCTTTTGTAGACCAAACGTGCGTCTGGCGTAAAAAAAATAATCCTGGTATCTAGGATGGGTTTATATTAACCGGGATTGTTTCTCTGACACCAAGTGTGATTTTCCGAACACAAGACTTCACCGTGGCCCAAAAGAAAAACGAAGAAAAAAAAAAAAGACAACAGTCTATGAAACAAAACCAAAAAATTCCAGAAAACTACAAATCGAGCAAAACAAACCGAACTTAAACTCGTTAAAAATCTCCAGCTCCTCTGGGCGCATCTGACAAAATAAAGCACGTTATAAGTTACATTTCAACTATAAATCACTATCGATGCATCATTTAAGGCAGGAAATATGGCTATTTGAACTTCCTTTTGTGTACACTGAGCCAAGAAGCATTTATCTAACTTGCTTTGCATAATCATTAAATATACAATTTAATCGATTAAGTGGATATAAACTCCAATACACATTGTGGGAGAATTCAAAAAAATCCAAATACAAACTCTTTATTATGGTCTAGCTAACTGACAGTGACAAGTTTGAAGCAGAAAGTTTTGATCAATTATCCTGTGAGTAGCCTCTTGATTTCATAGTGACAATCTTAAATGATGGTTAATTTAGGAACCCTTGTGCTTTAGTCGGCTTTGATTTTGATTACCCGTACTTCAAAAGTTCTTATTTCGAAGTAAATAAACGACATACAGAAGAATAAGAATGATTTATACGCTGTGATCAGTTAATACCAATGCCGAAGAGTCTATTGTTTACTCAAAATTAAAACACAATATGCCAAATTTGAGAGAGAATTCGTTAGCACTTGGTCTTACGATGGATCACCGTAAGACGATACGTTGCCTCCAGTCTTTAATGTGAAAATATATGTGACCAAAAACCAATTCTTGCTGTGTTAAATAGATTTTGGTTATCTTTTTGCTACCGTAGATCTGGGTAAACTTTTTATAAATCAGGATAACATTTTAGTTTTAAGTTATAATAAAATTCATTTCTTTAAACAGACGCCAAATGACGCCCCATGGACTGAAAGTATTAAGAATACAGCTGTTTCACCCAACACAGTTGATTCGAAAGAATGCTTGAACAAGTTTACTGCATGGATTAACGCAAATTCATCCCATTTACCGGAAAGAGACCATTCTATGTTATTTACCAGGTACTTACTACCACACCACTTCATTCTTTTAACACTAACAATTTACAAAAAGTAAAATAACAAAAATACCGAACTCTAAGGAAAATTCAAGTCGGAAAATCCTTTATCAAATGGCAAAATCAAAAGCTCAAACACATCAAACGAATGGAAAATAACTGTCATATTCCTGACTTGGTACAGGCATTTCCGTATGTAGAAATGCTGGATTAAACCTGTATGACGTTTCATCAAGAGTACACATTTATTAGTAAGACCTATATTTTCAATGTACCTTATTAATTGGACTTCTTAAATGTAAATGTCACTTACAGCATTCTGTTCTAGAAAAGTACGATTATTCTGTTTTCAATCATCTTTAAACAATGACTTTAAAATGGAGCTTGAACCTATGTAATTAAACGTCACTGTACCCAAATTGCACCCATTTTGCCAAAAATCCAACGGAACTTATACAGGTTTTCTTAGAGACTAACCAATTTGACTTTTAAAATTTCACATTACGCACGTCATTTTGATAGCTAAATATATCTAAATATACATAAAATGGTTCACATTATATTTCAATAGATGTTGTATCCAGTGAAAAAAGTAAAATCTACTGAAACGTCTCATGCGACGTCCACATAAAGTCTACTTTTAAAAATGAACAATTTAAATATGTCACAGGCTTCTTTTTCCTACAAAATGTATGGTAAATATGGAATATTGATAAGTTGTTCTAAAAGTGCGGAGAAGTAAAACAAAACATCAGATCTTCGACTTTTACGGATGTGAAGTTAAGCATAGATGCAATTTAGGTACTCCTCATTACAGAATCTTTGGTCGTTTGGAGGTCGGTTTAAACCGATTTTTTTATGATTTAGTATGGATTCAAAATAAAATTTGTGGAACCATATAGTAAATAAGGATATATCAAAAAAATAAACACAGAATGGAAACTTTTGTCTGTTTGTTAAAAAATCGTAGGTGAAAAACTGTCAAATTATGTGCTATTTGGGTACTCTCACGTTAGATAATTAAGAGGGTTTCGGTTTTAACAGGTATAACATGTATAAGGTGGTGTGGAGTTCACTGTTACACAATTTATATATTCTGGTACTGTAATCCTTTTTGTAGATATGACTTATCATATGTTGGATCAACTTCAAATGCTGGTATGTATAAACGAGAGTTGTATTAGTATTATAAGAATAAATGTTATGTCAGATGAGTTTAACTAGGCCGACGTACTTACACATTTAATTAAGCCCGTACGACTTAAATTTATGAGTGAATAACAAATGAAACATTCAAGCAATGATAATTAAACGTACCATTGATTTCATGTACAGTATAAAAAAAAATTAAAATAGCAAAAATACCGAACTCCAAGGAAAATTTGGCAAAAAGAAAGCTCAAACACATCAAAAGAATGGAAAAGAACTGTTATATCCTGACTTGGAACAGGCATTTCCTCATGTAAAAAATGATGGATTAAACCCTGGTTTTATAGCTAGCTGAACCTCTCACTTGTATTACAGATCTACATTGAGTATAATATCATTTTAAGGGATATACTTTAATGGGACAGTAACGGAACTGTATAGACAGATACTCAGTATTACACCTCCATATTTATAAAACTTGGGGATGGTTGACACTGCTAATCTTCAACTTCATACTTTATTTGGCCTTTTTAACTTTTTTGATTCGAGCGTCACTGATGAGCATTTTGTAGACGAAACTCTCGTCTGGTGAACAAAATTTTAAGCCTGGTATCTATGACGAGTTTATAGATGTAAGCATATCAGGACATATGAAGGTGCATCATTATTACGCATATTAAACAAATGCGTTATCGGTGTGTTCCTTTAAATGTATAATCAAAAGATATCTTAACATTACCACTTTACATCTAGCAAGGCTGCAAAAGTTTTAAATCATCAACATGGATGGAGTTACAAATTTTTCTCTACCCTAAAAGTGATTATCAGAGAGTGGCTACTCACAATGTTACATGTTTCTTTATAAACTCATGGTCTTCAAATAGTAGTTATGACTTGTACAACTGCCAAAAATCATGCAATAATACTGTCTATTTTAGGACTGGCCTGGACAGGTGCAATTTGTGGTTTAAAAAGTCAATCTATCGTACAGGATGGCTTTAACTTTATTATTGTTACTGTAGCAGCACATGAACTAGGACACAGGTAGTTTAATTATAATCATTATTGAACTTATCTTAACATTACCACTTCACATCTACCAAAGCTGCGAAAGTTTTAAATAATCAACATGTTTACTGAAAATTAAGATGTTTGTACATCATACATCAGGTTGAATTGCTTTATGTACTTTGAACACGTTTGATATGTAAATGGCCGACAAATCGAACATTTCAATTTGTGTATTTTGTCATAGCGTATAAACATTTAAATACATCCATCATGAATAGTTCATGTAGTTTATGTTGCGACGAAATTGCAATTTTAAAGCATTGAATGACAAGAGTCTTTCAAACGTCTGAAACAACAGTAAAAATGAGGCGAAAGATACCAGAGGGACATTCAAACTCATAAGTCGGAAAAACAATGACAACGCCATGGCTAAAAAAGAAAAAGACCAACAGACAAACAGACAAACAATAGTACACAAAACACAACATAGAAAACTAAAGACTGAGCAACACGAACCCCACCAAAACTGGGGGTGATCTCAGGTGCTCCGGAAAGGGTAAGCACATCCTGCTCCACATGTAGCACCCGTCGTGTTGCTCATGTTGGTACAAACCCAGTAATAAGTCTAATTCGGTAGGTCACATTCGGGAAAAGGGGATGGGATTGTAGTTACGACATTAGAAACATATCCGTTATCATCGGTGAAACAGATATTCCATAAAGGTCAAACCACTTGGAACTATTGGTTTAATAGCTTCTTTGTGAATAATTCATTCTTTGTCTCCACTAAAAAGATGCAAAATTAAAAAAAAACCTTATAATCCTTATGATATTGCAGTCTGAGCGCCAAACATGACGGGGATGGAAACTCGTGCGATATGAACGGTGCCTATATAATGGGTTCATCAAGTAGTCCTCAACAAGACACCAAAGCAACGCACCCATGGATATTTTCTACTTGCTCTACAGACTACTTTACGTCACAGATAGACGCACTTGAATTGTGAGTATTAAAACGTAAAGCGGTAAAAAGGGTTGGGTGAGCTGATCAGTTGCTTTGAACATGCTCTTAGTTTTGGAATTGATCAGTTTGGGGTATTATATAATTAATCAGCGCCGATTTTGGTGGTTTGAATCTGCATTAATATGTGACCAACATATTTTGCCTCCACTAAAAATTAATGAAGAATCAGGACCTCTTCTGACGCAGAATATTGGTTAATTCTCTGCAGGAACCATCTAGTCACTAGTTTGATGGTTTTTTTAACAATGTATTTCTGCTCACTATTGAAAGAAAATTAATTCAGATTTAGAAATGGTGAAGACAATTTTTCAACATGAGGGCAAAACAAACAGCCGGCTCAGTTCAAAACTTTAGAATCCTGTCTGAAAACATTGGGAACAGAATGAAATAATTGTACTTCTGTAAAGTTTCTACTATATGAACACTTTTTGTGAATCGTAAAATTCGCTGTGCTGGTCAAAAATTGTACATGGAATTTTCACATATATTATCTAGATTAAAAATGAGTTACATGTACGGATAACTTAATTAAAGTTTGAATAATTAAGATGACAAGTACACACATTCAACAAAACAAGTATACACATATTTCTTTATTTTGATCATTCATGTCCTTTTTGACGATTTAGGTCAGGAGAAAGCAATAATTGTATGAAGTCACTGGGATCCAATTTTGATCCAACTGCATTGGCCCCGTATGACCAGTCATTAGCCGGACAAGTGTATGACGCCGATGCCCAGTGTGCTCTTATTAACAGGAACGGATCTAACATGTGTAGGGTAAGCGGAATTCGTAACATATTAACTTAAAGTGAAGAGAGAAATATACTTCATATTCATATGAAACACCTGAACATGTATTAACAATTTGTCACTGGAGAACAAATCAAAATATTACATAAACCCATGTTCTTAAAGTCACATATGAGTTTATTTTCATGAAGGTTTGCAACGTGCACAAGTTAAGATTATATCATAAACTATTGTGTCAATACATCACCTTTATATGAGCTGCGTCGGATAGAAATCGACGTTATGCAAATGAATATCAATATATCTGTTAACCATTTTTTTGGGTTGAATAAACTCTATACAAAGTCTGTAATTGTTTCAAAATTTAGTAGATATAAGAACCCAACAAAACATACCACAATTCGTCTAATGTTCCAAAATCAAAGTCTTACACATATACATGTATATGTGCACTTGCATAAGTTCGATTTCTATCCGACGCAGCTCATATACTACATCAACATGCAATTTAGAAAACACAAAGGAAGACAATCATTAAAAGATGTTAAAGTGATGGCGTGAAAATGAAAACCTATTATGTATTTTCAATCAACAGAAATGTCTTATAGGTACTTCATGACCAAATCATGAAGTACAGATAGAAAAGTAACTGTTAACGCGATCTTTTTCTCACAATTATGTGTTTTGGAACATTTTGAAGAGCAAGAAATAGTTCCTGTGTATCTTTGTCAAGGAGAGAACACATGCTATGATTTTCAACTAATATTAACGAAAACATCTGATATATTCATATTATTCAGCTCCTGAAACAAAAACGTCTATTGATCTCATACCATTCAATAATGAAATAATGAATGATGTTTAATTTTTTAGGGACAGTACAATGGTAATTATGAATCAATATGCAACGTTCTATGGTGTTCTAATCTAGAGGGTACATCTTGTTATTCGTCAATTGCAGGAGAAGGCACTCTGTGTGGCAATAAAAAGGTATATACTATATCAATCTTTACCAGAATACAAAGCAAATTTAGTTAGGGGCATACATTTGATATCACTCTAAAGGGTTTTCACTGACAGTGATAAAATATCTAATTGTGAGTGTCATCTTGAAAATGGATAGTCTAGCTTAAACAACCTTTACAAAACGATTTACCAATTAGAAAATTAAGCTTAGTAAATCGAAGTTTTCTATCCTGAAAATTGTCATCGTTATCACCTTCCATTGGACTGATCTGTAGCGAAACAGACAGAAAAGATAAACAAAAAATTGAGACCTTGATCTGCACAATATTCTTTTATTTTCAAAATATTTTATTTTACAATTGAAGCTTTTTACAACAACAAACATTTATACTGTAGCATTTGCTTTGCATGAACTGAACAGCGCATTAACTTAATGTTATGCATTTAATGTTGTCAAGAAACACTATTAAACTTATAAATGATTATAGAAATATAACAAATCTACACTTCAGTGCAATACGCAAATATAAATACATGTTTTCTCCCTTTTCTACATACAAAAATATACATAGCTTGTAAACGTTTTCTACTGTAAATCTGGCATACCTTAGCTTTATACATAATTCTATGTCTCGATAGCCATTTGATTGTCTAAAATGCTTAAGAATGATTGAAATAAAATGTTTGATTAGTTTTTTACAGTAAATTAATACATATATGTGTTATCTTTAATCAACTCACTAGGCACATATTTTTTTGGCGTTTTTTGATCTTTAGATACCATTATGGTCGTTTGATATGTAATCACAACGATCATGTCCCATTCCCGATTGTAACATGTTGACCTAGTGTGGATTTGCATCGAGGGTGATCAAGACATAGCCGGATACACTAACACTGTCGACGCACAAGGTGTCGCTACTTTTGGAGTTCAACCAATTACCTCATATTTAATGTTGTTTCTTTGATTTGTCTTTTCTTAATCGATTTACAACATTTGAACATCGGTAAACTGCTGTCGGTAGCCTTAATTTTATTAACAATTTGTTTTTGCAGTGGTGTGTTTCTGGAGTATGTACATCAGATAGCAATGCTCCAGCTGGTAATGGTAAGTGTTAGATTAACGCTAGATATACCCTATTTTATTGCTATATACCATTTATACAATAAAGATCATGTTACTCCTTTTTTCAAAATGAAAATTATTTGGAATAAAAGAAATCCTCGGAGATCTTTTACAACAGTAATGAACACTCATTCATACCAAACTCATTAGTATTAGATGTTAGTGTAGTATACTTCTGCGGAACAATCTTGCATAGATCATTGGATGTCAAACAAGATGTGAAATAATCGTATATCAATAATAATAGATAATAACAATAATAATAATAATGATAATGATGAAGAAGAAAGAAATTAAAAACCATACAGAACATGCAAAAGGAGCATTCAACTTTATTAATTTAAAAAAGACACAAATTACCACGGAAAACTAAGACTAAACATTAAACTTTGGAAGTAAAGTAGTGATGTTGATATCATAGGAATTATAATATATATTATAAAAATCATAAAAGAATAATTGGTTTTAAAATCTGTTATTATATTTTATATTATAATCAGAAAACTGTCTATACGGCGATAGACGAGGAGTGATATTTAATAATGTTGGATGGACATGTGCTGACATGTACACTAATGCGCCTCACAATTGTGATACTGCAGAAGTGCAAGTACTATGTTGTGCTTCGTGTAACCCAGAAACGACAACTGTTGCAGTAACAACAGAAACCCACACAACAACAATTAAACCATTGACTACAACTGAGTATTTAACGACAACAGAATCAGTTACAACAGAGCCTCTGACAACAACAGAATCAGTTACTGCAACAGGGCCTCTGACAACAACTGAATCGGTTACTACAACAGAGCCTCTGACAACAACTGAATCGGTTGCTACAACAGAACTTCTAACAACAACTGAATCAGTTACTACAACAAAGCCACTCACAACTACTGAATCAGTTACTACAACAGAGCCTCTGACAACTACTGAATCAGTTACTACAACAGAGCCTCTGACAACAATAGATTCAGTTACTACAACAGAGTCTCTGACAACTACTGTATCAGTTACTACAACAGAGCCTCTGACAACAACTGAATCGGTTACTACAACAGAGCCTGTAACAACAGCTGAATCAGTTACTACAACAAAGCCTCTGACGACAACTGAATCGGTTACAACAACAGAGCCTGTAACAACAGCTGTATCAGTTACTACAACAGAGCCTCTGACGACAACTGAATCGGTTACTTCAACAATGCCTGTGACAACAACAGCACCTCTAACAACAACTGAATCGGTTGCTAGAACAGAGCGTCTGACAACAAATGAATCGGTTACTATAACATTGCCTCTGACAACAACTGAATCGGTTACTACTTCAGAGCCTTTCACAACAACTGAATCTGTTACTTCACCAGAACTTCTAACAACAACTGAATCATTTACTACAACAGAACTTCTAACAACTAGAAAATCAGGTACTACAACAGAACCTCCGACAACTCCTGAATCGGTTATTACAACACACCCACAAACAACTATAATAGAACCTCGAACATCCTCTAAATCAGTAACTACACAAGAATCTATAAAAACAACCGAATCAGTTACACCTGCAAAATCCTTAACAACAACTGAATCAGTCACTACGACAAAGCCACAAACAACTACGGAATCAGTCACTACAACAGAATCTACAACATCCCCTGAATCCATTTCTATAACACAGCCTCTAACAATTACAAAATCATTAACTACAACAGAACCTCTAACACCTTCTGATTCAGTAACTACACGAGAACCTCTAACAACAACTGAATCAATTACTACAACAGAACTTGTAACACGCCCAAAAACAACTGCCAAATCAGTAACTACAACAGAACCTCCAACATCCTCCAAATCAGTTACTACACAAGAACCTATAACAACAACCGAATCAGTTGCTACTGCAAAACTCCTAACTACTACTGAATCTGTTACTACAACAAAGCCTCTTACAAATACGGAATCAGTCACTACAACAGAACCTCCAACAACTCCTGAATCAGTTTCTATAACACAGCCTCTAACAACTACAAATTCAATAACATCAACAGAACCTCTAACATTTTCTAAATCAGTAACTACACAAGAACCTCTAACAACAACTGAATCATATACTACAACAGAACTTGTAACAACTAAAAAATGAGGTACTTCAATAGAACCTCCGACAACTCTTGAATCAGTCATTACAACACAACCACAAACAATTACAAAATCAGTAACTACAACGAAACCTCTAACAACTACTGAATCAGTCACTACAACAGAACTTCCAACAACTACTAAATCATTACTATAACAGAACCTCAAACAACTGCATCAGACACTACCACAGAGTTACAAACAACTACTTTAGGACCACTATCAACTTCTTCATTAGGATTATTTGATACGTCAAGTTAGTAAATGATACAAAAAAGGGGGAAAGATACTATGGGAGCAATTCACAATTTTAAGCGATAGAAAGACAGAAAATATCATTTGAAAATGCAAAATGACGAACAGTCCACAAAACTTAACACAGAACCCCAAAGATTGAGCAACACGCGCTTCATCAAAGTTATCAGGAGAGGAGTTGATTGCTAAAGTATGACAAAAAGCAGTTATTCGATTGTAAATTAATGATTTTCAGATGTGTGAAAAAGAACTTTTAAAACCTTTATTCAGCAATTACACAAATTAAAACCATAAACAAAGACAACCCAAAAATTGCTTATTTCGATATATTGTTTGAATAAATAAGATAAAAATGTGCTGAACCAGCAATATTTCATGTAATTTTAGTGGTTTCTTAGCTAGAAATTATACTTAAAATGTCCATATCATACTTCAAATTACGGTATTATTGTAAAGTGGTTTCTAAGGCAAAATTTGTTTAATGGTTTTATTTTCTGTTCTTAAAACCGATTCTAATCTTTTGAAAGATCAGAGTTATGTGATCGAACATTTCCGAACTCTATCTCGTAATAAATAAATTTCCTCACTGACAATTTCCCACGTTAGAGTAAAAGTGGACGAAGTTTTTATTGTAGTAGATAAATAAATAAGTAGACAAATCTAAATGAAACAAATAAACTACATTTAATCTATAGTGTTCACTCTTTGTGGTTTTTAGATATGCACGATAATTATATCAGCCTTTTTGTTTTTTGTTTCGGGATTTTTTAGTATAACATCCTTAAGGATCATACGATTTCCCACCAATCTGATAATCTGGTTGACAAAAAGAATAATTACAATACAAATTATACAGACTATAATCGGTAACACCTGCCTCGTATTAAATGAAATACGGAGATACATATATGCAATTTTTTAAGATATAGCTCTTTTCGAAGTTTCCTTAAGAAATAAATAAGTTACCGAACGTTATCATGCTCTTAATTGTGTATACTCACATCTAAAGGTAGTTTAGTAATGCATTTTATGTAATTTTGAAGTAGATTCCCTGCAAGACAACTAATAAACAAAAACACATCTTTATATATATTCATGAACTATGAAATACAAAAATCAAAATACCAATTTTGTTGTAAACATATTCTTCCAGGACAGTTTGAAGCTTCTGTGACAATGGATAAAACTTGGAATCCAGCATTTGCTAACTCCTCGAGCACAGAATATTTAGACTTACAGAAAAACTTTACCAAGCAGGTAAGTTTCAAAAAGACTACCAGACACATACAACAGTTATCCAGTTGACACTTCAGAAAAAAAAACTACTATCATATTTCCTATACACAAAACAAACCATAGCTCGCTTCTGCTGCAATTAAAAATCATGTTGTGGTAAAAAAATAAACAAAATTTGATTTATGTATTGCTGGATTATGTTTATTGCCTTTTCAAGCGTATGCAATACTTGGTGCAAAGATCTATCTTTTCAAATTTGTGGCATTTTCCTTTATACATAAACTCATCATAGATACCAGGCTTAAAATTATGTACGCCAGACGCGCGTTTTGTCTATAAAAGACTCATCAGTGACGCTCTAATCAAAAAAATTAAGACCAAGAATTCTGAAGAGTTTTGCTGTGTATTCCTGAGGTTGAAAATCCTTAGTCTTTCTAATAATTGCATGTTTTATCCTTGTCGTTATTTTAGTTCAGGTGTCTCTCAACATGACACTTAAGGTACAAGTAACACATGACACTTAAGGTACAAGTAACAAATGACTTTTTTATCCTTGTCGCTATTTTAGTTCAGGTGTCTCTCAACATGACACTTAAGGTACAAGTAACACATGACACTTAAGGTACAAGTAACAAATGACTTTTTATACGCCCGTCAATTTTTGACGGGACGTATTATGGTATACAAATGTCCGGTGTCCGTCCGTCCGTCCGTCCGTCTGTCTGTCCGGCGTAAACATGTCGCACCGTAACTTGAGAATGACTTATCCAAATTTCATGAAACTTAATATAGTTGTTTCTTATGATGGTCAAACGATCTGTATACTTTTTGGTGAAAATAAGATTAAAACTTTTTGAGTTACGGGACTTAGTAACTAAAACAGGTGTGTGTTTTTTTTTCACATGTCGCGCCGTATCTCAAAAACAATTTATGATTATAGCTTAAAACTTTACACACTTCTTAGTTATATTAATCTTAAGATCTGTATACTTTTTGGTGATGATTCAAAATTTTATTTTTGAGTTATTGAGTATTTTGTAAAAAAAGGGGGAGGGTTTTTTCACATGTCGCGCCGTATCTCAAAAACAGTTTATGATTATTGCTTAAAACTTTACACACTTCTTAGTTATATTAACCTTAAGATCTGTATACTTTTTGGTGATGATTCAAAATTTTATTTTTGAGTTATTGAGTATTTTGTAAAAAAGGGAGAGGGGTTTTTCACATGTCGCGCCGTATCTCAAAAACGATTTATGATTATTGCTTAAAATTTTACACAATTCTTAGTTATATTAATCTAAAGATCTGTATACTTTTTGGTTATGATTCAAAATTTTGTTTTTGAGATATTGATTTTTTTTTTTAAAAGGGGGGTTTTCACATGTCACGCCGTATCTCAAAAACGATTTATGATTATTGCTAAAAATTTTACACACTTCCTAATTATATTAATCTAAAGATCTGTATACTTTTTGGTTTTGATTCAACACTTTATTTTAGAGATATTGAGTTTTTTGTAAAAAAAAGGGAGGTTTTCGCATGTCACGCCGTATGTCAGAAACTTTTTATGCTTTTTGCATAAAAATTCACACACAAGACGACGGGCGTATCATGCGCTCATGGCGCAGCTGTTTATTTTAATTGTGATGAATAGTCCAGTCTCGAAATGATTGTTGTGAATTATTTACACCAAGGTTAATTTGAGTTAATGGCGTTATTGAAAAAAAAATCAGTTTTTACTGTGATGTAATGATATTGAAAGTCGTTTATTGCTTATGTAAGAAATTGTGTATATTAGTATAAACGGATTAATTGATATCTGATATTAAAAAAAACATTCTGTCGAATGCTTTCCAAAAGAACAAATTACAGACTTTTAGATGAGTAATTAAAGCAAATGTTTATTAATATTTACAGCTTATAAATATGTATGAAAATACAACAATTAAAGACGATATTGAGAATGTGACAATCACTGGATTTAGGCAAGTGACATTTTAATTGTACCACTTATATATACACCTGTATTTAGGCAAATTATATTTGACTAGTATTTCTTATACATTACTGAATTTAATAAAGTTATATATGTCTCATTAATATTTAGATCTCTGACATATTACTATTGTTCTACTTGCCAATTGTTTCCCTAGATTTAAGCAAAATATACCCGTCACAATGTATCTCTACATTTTTGCACGTTATACCTGACACAATGTATCTCTCAAATGTTAAACTTATACTATATGTCACCTGTTTTTGGTACCGTGCAGGTGTTGCACACAAATAGAGCTTGTTTCACGTATTTAGTTTGTATGGTTCTTAATATGAATGACAAATACATCCTTCTTTTCCTCGCTTTTGACAATACCCAATGCAATAAAAACTGGATTATTATTTAGAATAAATAAAACTACCATTGGAACTGGTTCAGAAGTATGAGCAAGCTATTCCAGAGTCTCATCGGTCGTCTCTAGATTTAAGTGAATGGGTGTTGCTACATCGTCAGTTTAATTTCTGTGCAATGTTAAGGAGAGGGGAAAAGGACATTCAAACTCATAAGTCAAAAACAAACTGACAACGCCATGGCAAAAAATAAAAAAAGACCACAGACAAACAACAGTTTATAAAACACAACATAGAAAACTAAAGACTGGGCAACATGAACCCCACCAAAATCTGGGGGAGATCTCAGGTGCTCCAGAAGGGTAAGCAGACCCTGCTCCACATGTGGCACCCGTCGTATTGCTCCTGTTAGTACAAACCCGGTGACAAGTCTAATTCGGTAGATTATAATCTATTGTGTATCTGTTTGTATTTTTCTTTTGCAATTGTGTTGTCTGCCATTCACTAATGTTAGATTTTGATACCCGCCTGGTTTTATTTTTCTTTTGTCATGATGTGGTATAATAGATAAGAAAGGATATTGGGTATCCATCCATGACACAATATTAGTACATGCACTACAATGTTAGTTTTTATACCCCCTGGTTTCTTTTATCATTTTAAAGGCGTTTGTTTTGCGTATGGCTAAGATATTGCTATTGCAAATGCAAATTTTCCAATTCACCATGAACACGAAAACAAATAATCAATATTTATCAGAACTTTTTCTACATAGTTGCATTATATTTTCTACATATTGCATTATATAAAATAGTCCAATGTATACATTAGATAGTAGAGGGTGTGGATGGGGTTTACCGAATAGAGAAAAATGGAAAAAAAATATAGAATAGAGAATAATGGGGTGCTAAAATATAAAGAATAACTGCAAAAATTTAAAGAATTAGGTAAAAATATACTGATCACAGAAAGAACAATGTCCAGAATACAGTTATCAAGTAATTACAGAATAGCCATTATTTTTAAAAGATAAAGAAAGGACCATACCCTCATAGTAGGGTTAACGCAAGTTTCGGTGAAATAATGTCGGTTTTCAATATAATTGATTATTCATTTTGTTCATTACATTGTATTTGAATTGCATGACCTTCATGACTTTCACGACTTTCTTGTGTAATTTAAATAGGAATGGCAGTGTTATTGCGGATTATATCATAGAACTAAAACCAGGGACAACCGAATCGGAAACAACTATAACAAATATTACAAAACAAGCAGTAGAAAACATCAAATCAAAACCGTCACCCGAGTTTGACCTCATACAGTTGATTAACACAGACAAAATTGTTGTCGAAAAAGTAATAGGTAAGCTGCGCATGCGCATAAGTTAAAAAAATATCTACCACTACTCTAATGTATTTCTTTATTGATTGAACCGACCACAAGTGGTAGAAGGTCTTACGTAGTTAACGGGTTTTTTGTTGTTGTTGCAATAACGAAGTTTACTTACTCACTTGAAATAAGTAAAATATAAATGGAAATAACATTTTATAAAGTATATGCGACTGAAGTGCTTTATTTTATTTACCTTCACCGGGAACGCTAAAAGCTAAATATTTGATATCAAAACCATGAATGTATTATAACCGAAAAACACAAAGAGCTATATAACCAGAAAGGCCCATACACGTGTAGAAAAGTTAATCAATCTAAGGTCTGCTGTGTTCAAGGGAGAGTGAATTTGTGATATACTGTGAATTTTTGATATACTGTGAATTTGTATCATTCGTGATTAATTACGTAGATTTTCAAATGTATAAAGGATACTGTTAAATCGAGCTTCTAAAAATACGTTTTTTTATCCAAAAATGCATTTGCGTAGCTATTACTTAATCCAACAATGTCCTATATGGCCAACATACATTTACTAACAAAGACAACGTCTCAACAATTTAAATTCAATCGTTGTATCAAACATGTTATGTATACAATTTACAAAACATTTCCATTTCTTTGAGATTGAAATAAATGGAATTGATATTACATTTTGCATTCAAAGAAATCTGAATTATGGCATGATTACCCTATTATTGCTTTAAGCACAAATCACTTTTCATTGCTTTAGCAAAAACAACTTATGGAATGACGTCGCCAGCAACTGAGACTACAACACAGTCAGTAGAGACAACGGATAATTTAGGTATGATGTAAAAGCTATATCTTCTGCTATTTTGAGTTAATACCTTTCGGACAAGATATTGACATTTAATTTAAGTTGAATTTTTAGGAGTCCACGGCAAGCCTACTTTGAATAAACCATTTTGCAGATTTTACTGGCTAAGAATATATGGTATATTTTTTGACAGTTTTGTTCAATCTCTCTGTTGAATTATCCTGATGTGCAAAAAATGTATTGAATCATTATTTCAAAGAGTTAAATCATTATATTAATTCATAATAGTTTGATATTGACTTTAGTGGTAAGTTTGTAAGATTATTATATATTTCGCAATATAAATACCCAGACAAAAAGTAGACAAAAAAAGTATGAAGTTGCACTGTTTCTTATTTTAATTGTGTAAATTTGTAAAATCTCATTAAATGATTAACGAGCAATCTCGAGACTATGCATCGTTTTCACTCTTTGGGCTATTTCATCTGTTTTGATAGAACAAGCAGATTGATGAATCAATTTCAAATTAAAATATACCAAGGACTACACATACTTTTTTTAACTTAAGAATTTTTAAAAGATGATATATCGTTCAATTGCTACGATATCGTTGATTGTTTCAGGTGGAACAAAGGATTTTGTTTGGATTTAATTGATTATTACCATTTTGGAGAAGGTTATACAATTCCTTTATATTTTCATTTAAGTGATATTATTTTCTGATAAATATGGAAGAATTAGTATGACTACAATGTCACAGAACAATTTAGTTTACAAAAAGCTTATATACCTTTATCTAAAAAATGCCTCTATTCTGAGATTAAGTTTATAAATCATACAATGCTGTCCTGCGTATGAATATTTTACTCCCAAATACGTATTTCTGGTACTTTGTAGACACACCCTATAATCATCACTTAATCTTGATTTTTGTTGTGTTATAAATAGAACCTTTATTATTTTGTATTTTGCAGATAGGACTGCTTCCATATTACAATATTTGAATATTGTGATTACATTTCACTGAACTTTGATATTGCTTTTTTACAGTGCCTCGTTTCCTTAATCGGCCATTTTGAATTTTGTTATTACTTTTCACTGAACTTTGATATTGTTAATTACAGAGCCTCTTATAATTGGTATCGGTGCAGTTTCTGGGGTTATGATATTAGGCATTGGAATTTGCATTATTATTTGTTGTATGCGTTCGAAGAAATCATCTGAAAATACAGATCAAACAAAAAAGGTAATAAACGATGTATATCATTTGCACAATATATTTTATAACATTCCAACACAATAGTTAGTATATAATATAAATCCACTTTTTGTGTCTGAAAATTATGCACAAGTGTGTGAGATATTGCGATATTTAATTCATACGGGTTTTCTTGTTTACAAGTATGTATATATTTTAGCTTAATTGACTACATAAAAAGTTAAGCAGCCGACAAAAATCTGATCGAATGCAACTGACATCCATTATCCTTTAATAACATATGAAATACCAATTGCAAAAAAAAGAAATGTTGGGTTTATGCTTATGAGACAGCTACTCATTGACACAGAAATAGTACAAACATCTGCATGAGTCCAATTTATGTGATAATTAAGAAGTGCACATTTGTTGTTAGTCCCAAAGTTTTAACTGAAGTACTTTCGATTGCTTATAATTCGATATACTAGTATTCGAAATTGAAGCATTTTGAATTATATTTTTCAAATATTTAAATCAAAATAATTTCAACCAATGACCTGACATTATTTTCTTCGTAAATGGAATATTTATTACATTTACAGTTCTTGATTGTTCTCTAACTTATCTATTTTCAGTCAAATGTAAATCGAGATGATCATGTTGATGGCTACACAAATCATGGAATGACCCTAGACAGTGTTCGGGAATCTCAGTCTTTCAAGGGATATGAAGGAAGAACATCAAATAGGCAGCCTTTAGATCCTTGTAGAATATCGTATGGGAAATCAAACAATACTCACCCAGCATGGTATCCATATTATAATGCACGAGATACGATGTCTGGTTTACGTGGACATTATAATGAAGGGTTTTATTCATAATGCCACATCTAAAGCTTACGACAAGAACTCATAGCAAACATACACATGATAAAGGAATATGATGTCCTAGCTGGTTAGGGTAACACGCGACCCACAGTTAAGTACCAGCCAACAAGTTTGTGATAGATTGGTGTGTTGCGTTAATAATATATGAATACCATGATTCATAGGTTATCTGATTCTAGATCATCTCAATAAAAGATAGACTCTCCAGGGTAATTGACAAGATCTTGAAGATTTGCAGTGAAAATTGCACATATGAACTATATAAAGAGCGAACAATAATCAAAACGAGATCTCAATTACCTGGATAACTAAGTTTGATATGTCTGTAATAAAACTTAGCATTTCGTATAAAAATTTAAACATTCTTTTTCAAATCGTAGGTCTTATAATCGCATATAAACATGTTTTACATTGATAAAATCATATTTCATATGTAAACTTTATAAAGAGTCGCAACGTCCAACAATTGTATCTAATTTTGAAATTAGAGGCAATAAAATCCTCACAAAAATTAAAAGAAAATTTGTATTTTTCCTTATGATTGACTCATTGTCGTGGCAACCATTCAAGACGTTCACTTTTCTTAATATATTATTGATCACTTAACGCGAAGTCAATTGGACAACACAACTGGTATAACTACTAGAGTAGGAACTGCTTTCCCTTTTGGGGCACATGATATCAACTCCCCTTTGAGAAGGTTTTTTTTTTTCAAACAAAAAAATAGCTCTTTTCCTTTATTTCTCCACGTTTTGTAGTGTTTCATAAGATATGGTTGCCTAGAGCATGTAGAGAGTGCTGGAAGTTAATTCTGCATGGGAGCATGACAACGACAGACGACTATATATATACCAAAACATACATCTCTAACATAACCAATCGATGCAGCTCAATGTGATCATTGATATTGAAACAATAAAATTTTGCTGTACTTTCCTTTAAAAAGTAAAATAACAAAAATACCGAACTTCAAGGAAAATTCAAAACGGAAAATCTCTTATACAGTGGCAAAATCAAAAGCTCAAACACATCAAATGAATGGGATACAACTGTCATATTCCTGACTTGGTACAGGCATTTCCTTGTGTAGAAATTGTATGACAGTCATATAGCATGCCATTATATTGACAACAACGTGTAAGCAAAACAAACAGACATAATAGGTAAAAATGTTAAAAATTTGGGAACAGCAGTCAACATTGTGTTATAATCTTAATTACTATAAAAACAAATAACTATTTGAACAAAAACAAAAACAAAAACAAAATGGCATATAGACACCCTATAGACAAAGTAAATAAGTAAAAGTGAAAGACAAGAATACAAAAATTACTATAGCACAATAACACAATGGCGGGATGTATAAATACCTAGCCACGCGAAAAGTGTATACAAAAAATCGATTAAACAGTAAAGGTTAAAATATACAAAGACAAATAAAGAAAATTAAAGAAAGAACACTATAACACGTGATTAAGATGATAAACAACGTCAGTACCTAGAATCTATACTTCAAGACCATCATTTATTAATTGTGAAGTTGATACGGAATATTTATCAACAAGGTCTTGGTATCTTTTGATGAACTTTTTTTTTAGAAAAAGGACGAGAAATTCTTTGACATAACCCTGGTTCATCAACTTTCTGTTCAGACACTGGTGACGTTTTACAAAGTCTGAGTTTCTGCTGCAAGCTCTTGAATACCGAATGAGTTGGGAAATGTATGTCCCATATGCAGGTGAAGTTGGTATATTACTGCTAAGATAGCAATCGCTGACTTACAGTAAAGTAAAAAAACAAATAAACAAAGAAATTTAGATGGGCAACAAATAATAAGATAATACCAAAGGTGCATTCAAAGACTACATAAAGTGCATTGCTCTACTAATGACACCCGTATTTGAAAAAAATATGAAATGGCAGTGAAAAATGCATCTTTTTATTACATTATTTCCTAAAAATCAAAAACGATGTCGTACATAAAAGGTTTACATGTTTCTGATTGATTGATAAATAAAAATACAATTAAACAATAAAATACACTTAACTGTAAAAGTATAAGTCGAACACAAACTGACAATGCCATGGCAAAAAATGAAAAACGATAAAAAGACACACAGTATAAAAACACAAAATAACATATACTACTTAAGACTGAGCAACAACAACCCCATCAACAACGGGAATGATATCAGGTGTTCCGGAAGGGTAATCATATCCTGAAAAGATATCTTAATAAAACAGATGTTAGGGGGTAATAAAAAGTTGAAGAAGACAGATTGTGTTTGGGATTGTTCTCAGCATTTTTAGTCCTTTCCCAACATTCGTTAACGGGAATGCTTGAATCTTCACAAATGCCATACTGTATTCGAACACATCACATCCACATATACTGGTAGACAGATATTAATATGTTTTTGTAATGTTATAAACCAGCTTTAATCATTACTGATGAAAGTTTATATAAATTCAACTTTTACAGTTGTGTTAATCATATGTATGTGTTCATTTATATTCCATTTCTACGAGTGTCTTTTAACATCAATATTGAAATGTGCCAACATTTTATTTATACTATATGCCTTATAAAGTGCATTTCCAAATATTTTATTATTGTTTCTTTACATTTGATAAGTATCATAATAAACCATTGCTTTAAATTTTCCCTGAAAATCGGGAATTGTACTCATACTCACGGTATGACAAAACCATGCTCCAACATCGTATTTCATAGAGTCGCATGTTATACGATTTGATGACGGAAGCTTATATTATATGCATGGACTATTTTTTTTTGTTATTTGGGAGATATTGAGAAAAAAAGTATAGCAAAAATACAGAACCCAAAGGCAAATTTAAGAAGGGGAAGTTCATAAGAACTGACAAAATCAAACGATATCACTCAACGGAACAAGTGAAAAACAACTGCCATATTCCTGACTCGGTACAACATTTTCCGAAGAAAATGGTGGGTTAAACCTGGTTTTATAGCTAGCTAAACTTCCCACTTGTATAACAGTTGTTTATAGTTTCGTTGTATTTACAATAAACTCATCATAGTCCAAATTGGGCGAGCAACCCAAACAGACATAATAATTTAATGTGACAATAGTTGGGATCCAGCAGCCAAAACTGTCTTAACATAAATTATAAACAGTAATAGGCACTTAAATTGTTTCCACGCGACCATTAACAATTTCCAATGAAGAATTGTGCAAAAAAGTCAACTTTTACTATTAAGTGACGATATTCCGAACCTCTCATGGTGCATTTGACTCTGCAAGTTTCGATATAAAACTGTTTATAGTTTTAAGTACGGGAACAATTTCTTCCAAAACTACCAATGCTGTTCAACATTATACAGATGTCATAAAATATGAGCTGCGTTGGTTAGAAATTGACCTTATGCAAATTAATATCAATACATCTGTTATCTTATTTCGGGTTGAAACAATCTCTATGCAAAGTCTGTAACTGTTTGAAAATTGAGTTGTTATAAGAACCCCACAAAACAGACCTAAATTCATCTTTTATTTCGTATTTAAATATTCCAAAATCAATCAGTCTTAGACATGAACATGTATATGTGCACTTGCATAAGGTCGATTTCTATGCGACGCAGCTCATTTGTTGTTTATTCAGTTTTCATCACAGTTAATGACATAACAAACTTTAAAACCACTTAATCATTCGAATTGTCGAAAACCCTGTTCTCTGTTGCTCGTAGAGTTGTTCAGTAACACATGAAATATAATTTCTTCTACGTTTTAATACTGATATTCTTTTGATCTGGTTTTACAACATCTGAAGTCATACCGTACAATGCAGTTTTCCATTAGCTAATGTAGCCATAATAAACGTTAAATAATTAATTAAAGACGCTTTTTACATAGATGAAAAACTATGTAAATACTTAGGTAGAACGCATGTGCGATAAAATGCCATGATGTTTCGTGAAAACATAAAAGATCTATGATCATAACGACAGTGCTGATTCCAGGCATCATTTTATAGTGTGTTTTTCTATGTTGTGATGTTATACTATTGTTTCAGAAAAGGGAGAAGGTTTGGTACCATTAAAACGTTTAATCCCGCTACAAATGTTTGCACTTGTCGTAAGTCGGGAATCTGATTACAGTAGTTGTCGTCTGTTTATGTAGTTCATACGTGTTTCTCGTTTCTCGTTCTTATATAGACTAGACCGTTGGTTTTTCCGTTTGAATAGTTTTACACTAGTAATTTTTTGGGGCCCTTTATAGCTTGCTGTTCGGTGTGAGCCAATGCTCCGTGTTGAAGGCCGTACCTTGACCTATAATGGTTTACTTTTATAAATTGTAACTTGGATGGAGAGTTGTCTCATTGGCACTCATACCACATCTTCCTATATCTATCAATATTTATTTATAATGACTAATATAAGTTGTTTTTATTTAAAACTAAAGTTATATTAACCTACGGAAAACTGAGCCTTCCGAAAAAAACATCACAATTCAGAAAGCAATTCAAAATGAAAAAAAAAAATTAATTGAATTGTGAAAATATAGCTTTGTTTTATCTTATTAATCACTACAATATGAATAGGTGACACGCTTACGGACATTACTACACTTCAATAGCTGGTATGAACAAGTGAGCTGGTGTGGCATACACGTTGTTATATAATATATATTTTCGATCAGTAACATCATGAAATCAAATCATAAAATCATAAAATCATAAAAAATTTTCAAAATTTGATGACTGAATGAAATGAAATTTGTTATTATATTTGCTATCATTAAATTACCTGTGTTTTTCAAATACGGGTTTTCAAAATCAAAGCATGATAAAAATTTTGAAACGGAAGTTTCTTCTTACATAAATAAATGCATCGTATATCAGGTATAATTCCATAGAAAATTGAGAAAGATTAAATTTTCATATTTCTATGAAAAATTCATCCGGGTGTTACAAAGAGTCTGAAAATACCAAAAGGAACATCAAAATTAAATTCAAAAGTCGAAGAAAAACCAACAAAGCTTTAACCATTGCAAAACAAAAGAGAGAAAGGACAAACAACAGTCTAGCAAAAAATACATGGAAAGCTGTAGATTGAGCAACTGGGGTTGACGTCTGATGCTCCGAAATGGTATGCAGATGTTTAAGCCGTCGTGATGCTCAGGTCAAGTACAAAATCGGTGATAATTGAGGAAAACAAGACGGGGTTGTGGCAATGTCAATTGAAACATATCCAGAGGCGGATTTAGAGGGAACAGGGGTCCTTCCCCCTTATGGAGCTTCATATATGAAAAATGAATAGACATTTTACAAGTATCACTCCAAACGTTGGCTTGCCAGGGGGCCTTTCTTTTTTCAAAATCCTTGATTCTAACCAGATATCTGTGGTCATCTGTAACATATATATTCCAGAAATGATGGTACAGAGATGACTTCATCTTTACCAATAAGAACCCTTGGACCAATAGTTGCATTGTAATCAGCAACAGTTTATCTAGGAAATCATTTTTTTTAGAAACTGAT